TTTTGGTGAAGTAGGCGGTTGGTGGCGGGGTCTTTTTTCGCGTCTGTCCGACGGCGGGAGCCTGCGCCGGCTTTGGGGGGGGGGGCTTGTTCTTGATACCTAGGTGAATCTCTGGGGCGGCTTAAAGTCTGCAATAGTCTTGTTGGATGTCATCAGTTTGTACCTTCTTGATCATGATGATGTGATGATACCTTTGGTCGAGTGAAATATGCTGTTGGGGTGGCGCTTGGCGCGTTCCACACACAGTGTTTGCGTTTGCGGTGTCTTTGTCTTGGACTTCGTATGTTTTTGCTTCTCTTCAATGGCGGTCGTTGAATGCCCGGTCAAATGTCCACGTCGCTTCTTATATATGGCGTTACTCCTGGAGTGTCAGATTTTGCTTTTCGCTTTTCCTGTGTCTTTGAAGCATGTATCGCGTAGGTCGGCGAGAGTAGTGATGTGCGCATGTCATACATATATGAAACGGAGGGCATTGTATCACTAGATAATGTTCGAGTTTTGTGTACGAAGGGTCGAGATGCGTTGAATGAGGGAGAATCTTCGGACAGATGTATCGGTGTGTCATGGATTTGATATTCTGGCGCCGGCTGTTCCTGTCGGTCCATACTCCGGCGTGTGCTTTGTCATTCTTCGTGTTTCCTGTGTGCGCATAAGCATGCATGTAGCCGGTGCTGCGGGAGTTACTGCTGTAACCGTAGAAAACAGAGAAAATGAACCCGTTTCGCAAAGCCACCCCCCCAAGGTGCACAGCCGGACTTACCGTGCCATGGTTGGTAGGCCTTGCCCTGACAAGGTTCCAGGACACCCCGGCCCTGTCAAGGTGGCAACCTAAGCGACACCTTGTCAAGGTCGTAGCCCTGGGACACCTTAGAATGTGGCACCCTGTATAGCTGCAAAATCTGGTACCCTGCACGAGGTCCTCCCCCGTAACCCTGGAGGGGTAGCCGAATGGCTACGGGTGAAATCCTGGCTGAATCACTTGTTTTTACAAAAAGTGCACCCAGAACTGTCAGTCTGGCAAGGGGTCTGTCCCCGGAGATCCCTGCACTCAATCCCACGCCATAGAAACCCAATTGATCCTGCCGGGTGCTAATGAGCTGAGCGCATATCTCTTGTAAGATAGTCTAGAGATACACCATTAGTTTAGACAAGTCAGCCGCTGACTAGTCTAATGGTGTAACTTTATCTTTCATGCCTCAACTTCAAATCAGCGCTCACAGCACTACTACTGCAGTTGTGCCGTTTACTCCAACCCGTGGTCACACAGAAGAGCTCCTCTCTAACTTCCCTTCCTGCGGTACCTGGCCTTCGATTCTTGATGTGAGAAGAGTTCAGCACTGCGCTCTTCCCTCTGTGTACGACTACAGGCTACAAGAACCTCGGCAAGCACTACATTCTATGTACGTGATCGTTCGGGAGGATGGCGGACAAATGAGATTCCGCCCCCGTCGAAATCTGATCGTCATCAAGTCCCGAAGTGTTGTACCAATTCTCATCACCCCTGGTCATTGTTGTGAACGTCGGGGGTCTGCCCCTTGTCACCCTGTCGGCGTGCCGCCCACTCGTAGCAAACATCTATCGCTCGATCCCCGCTCCTACAACTCCATCTCCCTCTTGTTTTACACGGTACGAACATCTTGAGAGGCAAGCTCGCCCTATGATAGTGGAGCTTTCTTCGAGCGTATGCCAACACCACGCGTGTTCTTGTGTGGGGTAGCCGCGGGACTGATCTACACCTCACCCAGACTCTTGTTCTTTGCGCGCTGTCTAGCTTCGCCGGAGAGGACTCCTGAGGACGAAACTCGTCTGGAAGCTGCATGGCAAAGGTGTACTCATCGGGGTCGAGGTCGACATCGCTGGCGAGCTGTCACAAGGGGTCCGAGTTTCCTTCTTCTCTTCACACCCGACCACAAATCCCTGTGCTTCTTATTATTGGGGGGTCTGTATTGTGCGGTTTCTCGGTACTCCACATCTTCCTGTTGTCCATGAAATGAGTTCAGTTCCTTGTGACCTTCTTCTCACAATTGCACAAGCCTTGTGAGGTCCACATGCTTACGAGGTTGTTTCTTACGAGCGGGCCGGCACTGTAGTGAAGGTGTACTAATCACCGCAAAGTGAGAATACGGATACCTCGGTACAGTATGAACGGTCCCGCTCGGCACTGGGGCGACCACTGGACACTCGATGAGTATATCAATACATCAACAAGGGATACGAGCCACCCTCCATTGACTGGTGTTTTCATCACCCCAACCAGAGCCGCACATTCCAGAGTACATATATGAGCTCGGGACACGAGCACTAGGCCATGCTCATTTTCCCTGTGCTAGTCTCGGAACTTCTCATCAACAGGCAACCGCCGCTACCCACAGTTTATCACCACCTATCTTACGGTCTTGGTCACCTACTCCGGGACATTACGATGCGGACTCGTGCATCAGCACGTATTTTCCACCTGGAGACCATCCTCTTCCTACTGAAAAGTACGTGCGTCCCATCGACATGTGAAGAGTTATTTGTTCCTCTTGACAGAGCGAACCCCTGACAACCCAAAAGAAACCAGGAGACATGTTGTTCAGGTACGCGTGGCAACAATTCCCAAATCATCCTTAACAATCGAATAGTGCTTCTCTACCGCCGACATCTTCCACGAAACTCATCCATGCAGATCAACACAGACTGCATGCAGCAGCCAGATTCATTTCACCGCCACAGCCAGACACCAGTCATTGCGCGGACACATGGTCGGATATGCCCCCTTGGCACCTCGTTCTGCCCTGTAGGCCACCTGTCCTGTAAGCAAGGTGGCGTCATACCCATATCCGTTGTCGTCGATGGCCACAGGGCACGAAACAACGTTGTGGAAAAGTGAAGTAACGAGTGGGAACTCCCCGCCCTCCCCTGTGTTCTTCCCGATGAAGTTGCCGTCTTTGTCGAAGCACGAGAAGGCGGACACCCAGCCTGTCGTGAACGTCACTCCCGAGACAAAATGTCGGTGAGAGAAGACCTCCAACAAACAACCGAAGCACGTTCACGACTGCGGTTTTGAGAGAATGACAACGCAGTGTGCGTAATGTACATATCAAGAGGCGAATAGTCCAGGTGCATTTGCCACTGTACATGAATCATCGGACCGCTACAATTGCAGTCAATAAGCACCGCATTTGAAATTCCGTCAAGATGCCACCCTCAAAGTTTCAAGAACACTAGCAATATCGTGTTGAGGAACACAGCTCTGCATAGCAACCTGTGTTCAACGGAGGTGATGAAACAAGAAAGTTAGCCACGACCTGGTTTTGACGTTTGTTGTCTCGGACCCGTTCGGCACGTATGTCGAGCGTCTCTTGTGAACTAAGGACGGAACAGTCTGACCCGCCAAATAGATATTTTCATCGCGGCATACCCACCTACAGAAGTACAAAGTACGTTTGTCCACGAATACCAAATGAACTGGAGTTTAATGTGAATAGAAAATTTCGGAACATCTCCCAGATCTGCGAGTAGTGTTGTCCGCCAGGGAGGCTTATTGGTTGGGATGCCTCGGTTCGGTTTCCTGGGGTCCCAAAACGAGAAAAGTCTCACAGGCGTTCTCATTTTACTGCCTCGCTGCTCCTGCAGCAAGAGTTTGACAGACACGTGTCCACTGGGTCCAAGGGCAACGTGCTGAGGAGAGGAATACACGGTGCGTAGCACGCAGTCCACTCTTGAGGGTCGCGCGGCACAGGAGATCAGCAGCGAGCAACGTTGAAGTTCGGGCAGAGTTTTCTCCAGCCCACCCACTCCGTTTCTCTCGAAGGTGGCGCATACGGGAAACGTTGCGAAGGGAGGGCTCCCTTGTTGGAGACGCCCCCCTCAAATGTTTCTGTGGCTCGGAGTTGGAGCCAGCTTTGCCATGTAGTGTTTCTGGCCAACAGCACGGGGTGCTTTCTGAATGTTTGTGTGTGCCATTGAGAGGCTCAGAACGAGACCGCTATATTGTACAACAATTTCGACCCGTCTGGTCGTATTCGGAGGGAAATATTGCGTGTGTTTTGGAAGAGGAGACCTTAGGACACGGCGAAGGCTACAAGCCGTGTTGAACGTGTGGCGTGGGGAACAAGTCTCCCTCTTTAGGCCACAGAATGTGTAAATCAAGGCAGTTCGGAAGAGAAACGATAAACGACGTTTCTTCACGCCAGTGAAGTGTGTTGTGCACCCACTCTACTTCAGCGTAAAGGCACATATGTACCTTGTCCCAGAAGTCAACCGTCGCCGCGCTGTCCGGGTGCTCCGCCGACTCCACGAACCCGTCGCACACCTTCCTCAGGTACCCCACCCATAGCTCCATGACCTTGCCCTCCGGGTTGTCCAGCACCTCGAACTCAAGCATACGCTCGATCTTCTCCCGCAGCAGCTTCCAGTCCTCGACTGTGCCCATCAGGGCCACCGACGGAATGCCACACCTGAGGCACATTTCATAGTTGAAGCACTCCTGGAGGCTCGCCATAGCTGTTGCCGCCGCGCACACCTCGTCTGTCTCCGTAGTAGTAGAGAACCCAGGGAGGAACAGCTCTGGGGACTTGATGTTCTGCCTGATTTGTCCTAAGAGATCCTTGATCAACCTCGCATAGTCGGCCGTTTCCAACGACCCGTACCCATACACTGTCAGCTTCTTCTTGCCCTCATGCTCAACCACCCTGTCGCGCAAACCCTCGGCGTTCTTGTTGACGTATGCGCAGAACTGGGAGAGGATCGTCAACCACACGTCGTCCGGGCTGACTACTAGAGCGCAGTGAGTGTTGTAGGCGGTCATAATGGCGGAAATGAGGCCCATGGGGGCGCGTGACAACCCTGTTTGATGTGTCGTGCGGGATATTGCAACGATTTTTCCAGGAAGATTCGTCGTGTCGGGCCTCCGGCTACGTGAGGGATAGGTGAGGGAGGGAGAGAGAGAGAAAGAATGTGGGAAAATGTAGCAGGACAAACGAGGAGGAAGTCAGAGGAAGGCCAACCATGCACGAGAACATGGTAACTGGCAAAAAACAAGTTTGGTGAGGCAAATATGGCCGTCGCAGACTAAAGTTTATTGAAACCGTTGAAATTCCCTGATGCCTTTTTGTTCCTCTGTACTTCGGGGTATCAGATGTTTGCATGTAGTTCAGGTGTAGCCCATGCCGTACACAGTCTCACGAGGAAGGGTGTAGCGTTCTTCTACAGGGACACCCAGTTGGAGCTCGTTCACTGGCGGCAAGCAGATAAGATGGAGGTAAATTTTGAACGACATGAGGGGGATCAGGGGCAGACCGGAGAAGTAAGGGCTCGTACACGGGAGGAGGTTAAGTGGCACGCAGTCGGGATACAGAGCAAACGGCGGAGCCGTGGCTCTGATCGTGAAATAGATGTCTTGTCATGCGACGCTGCCCGATGACGCGCCACTCTGTTCGTACCGTAGCGGTCGTGAAGTCAAAGCGCTGAAGTAGTGCCACGCTCTGCGAGTATTTACAGAGTGAGTCAACAAGACCGGGCGGGAACCAGAAGACTTCGCACTGCACTATCGTCGGAAAAGGGGGGGCTCCGCCCTGGCGGCCGAGGGGGAGGTTTCGAAACGAGTAATCCAGAGGGCAGGGAGGAGGAAATCAGATGCGCACATGCCTAAACAGTAAACAATGTGGAGGATTTGCAAAGGGTGTCTCGTATATAATAGGCGATAAGGAAAGGGAATGGCGAGACAGCCGGGGGAGAACACGGTGTGGGGAACGATAAGGAAAAGACGATGTTCCACCGTACAGTGAGACTCTCATGACGACCTCGAACTGGGTAGAGTAAATGGTAGAGTACCATTTGGGGACTTTGTCGTCTGAAATGTTCCGCGCAGTAGGAAGAATTCCCCACAGCGGTAGAGAAACCTCGGGCTGTTTTCTTAGGAAAGAGAGAGAGAGAGAGAGAGAGAGTAGACTAGTACTGATGGACAGACACGGCGGCATAGGACAGGCGCAGAGGGCGTCTGCAGGAAACATATTTGTCCGTGTGGTTTGTCTCTCTTCCCCGCATATGAAGAGAAGCATGAACGCAAAATGGCAATTCGAAAGAGATACTTGTACGATTTTCAAGTTTGTGTGCATGGTACGCGTGCATTGCGTACGGCTGTTGTTTGTTGCTGTTCAATGTACAAAAGTCTACAGTGCCGGCAAGACAACAAGCTCTACTACTGCACACGATACACGATAAACATAGAGGGGGAAATCGAACGCCTGTGCACCTGATGAACTGTGTGCCGTCCTCCTCCGTTCTGAAAATTGCTTTGTACGCGACGTGGTGCTCGAAAGCGCCGCTCAGTGACGATGAGGGCTTGAAGGCCTGCTTCAAATTGTCGACAAACTCCAGCTTGGGATTTCAAGTTGCTGGCGAGATTGTTACTTGCTTCACTTCAACACCCCTTCCGGACGCGGGAGCTGAGGTTGCCATTTTCGTGGGGGTCAGGTTGATGATGGCGCATGAGCCTGTACACAGCGGTAGGAGGCAGTAGTGGGAGAGCGAGCAGTAGAGCAGATGGGAGGTGTCTTTGCACGTGCCGAAGTACAGGGCGATCTGCGCGTTGCGAGCGTGGTTCCGCGGACTCGTCCCCAGGAACCGGAGCAACGCCTCCTCTCATTTTGTACTTCAAACACCCCGCAAGATCTGTCGCAAGTCTCTCGGTCAATCTCGGCACCTGCTGTCTCGTTCGCCGCACGGAGAGACCCAGTGACATCTCTCGCACTTCTGCGACTACCGCAGTTTCCTCTAAGGGTCAACCATCAGGCCATAGACTATACCGGCTTAGTGTCGGGGCGGGGTCGAGGATCAAATTCCTACATCCTACTACGTACATCCCCCCGTGTCGCACCCAACCGACGAGTGCGGGGGAACAGCGGAAGCAGCCGGATCCGTATCGACCTTGAGCGGTAAAGGAAGGACAAACACCTACGGGTCGCCTTCCAAACAGGNGGGGCCTCAAAGAACAGCGCCTGCGAGGCGACCCTGAAGGCGATGCTCAAGGCGGCGCGGAAGAAGCGCAGCATCGCGAGGTGGAGAGCACTGGAAGCGTTCTTCGAGGGCTGTGTACGGCAGCTCGAGAACTTGAGGTTGAGGAAGCGGTACGGGAAATGGCCAACAGAAAGGCCGTCGGGCCGGACGACCTACCGGCTGAGCTGATCAAGCTTTTCCTGGACGGAGATCAAGGTCTCCTCCGCGAATTCCACGCCATTGTCGTGGACGTGTGGCAGACTGGGGACGTACCACAGCAGTGGAAGGATGCCACCATCAAAGTGCTGTTCAAGAAGGGGGACACGATGGAGTGCGGCAACTACCGGGGCATCTCTCTCGTCGCACACGCCGGCAAGGTGCTGCTTAAGGTCGTCGCTACACGACTGAGCCACCACTGCGAGCGAGAGGGCATCCCCCCGGAGAAGCAGAGCGGTTCCCGCCCACACCGGTCGACGCTCGACATGCTGTTCGCCATCCAGCG